AATGACCCTAGCCTCTTTGTCGAGGGTTTAACCTGCAATTGTAGCATTATTGTAAGTATTCCTCCATATATTGCAGTAAGAAGATTTGATTCTTATTTTATAGATTCAACTTTACAATTGAATATGAAGAAAGGGACCATCCAAAGGAAAAGTCAACTCTCAAAAGGAATATTTAACTCTTGAGGGAGTTGGAATTGACTCTCAAGAGGAAGAGTTGAGTATAAATTTTAGAGAGTTGAAGAATTTTGAGGTTTATGGCAAAATCGACTCTTCAACCGAAGATTCCACTTTTAAGGGCTAGACATTTGACTCTTTTATTCAAGATTCAACTATTAGCTTGTTTAAGGAAAACTTGTCTAAGTTCCAGAATCTTTTGAAGAGTTGACTATCAATTTGAAGAGTTAAATCTAGTCTTTAAAGGTTCAACTCTTGAACGCAAGATTTGACTTTTGATTGTATAGTAACAACTAATTTTTTTTTTGTAATCTATTGAGTTTACTGAGCATTTAATATAATTCAACGATCCCAAATGGTTAATTTGGACATGAGGAAGATCAATAGGGTTGGTGGACACATTTGAGAACTTCTTAGAGACTTCATTGAAAAAATTTACCATCCCACTTGAGTTTTCTCTTGCAAACATTCAATTCTTTGTACTTGTAGTTGCACATTTGATCATTGAGTGATCTTTTATTGTAATTCTATAGCCATATTCTATGAGTCACTTCTTTGGGGTGTGATCTATTCCTTCAAGAGTGATTGTGTAGTGAGGTTTGTGAGGTTGGATTGAAAAGGGCTGAAATTGAGTTAAACTCATTTTCTTGCAAAAGGATTAGATGTCAAGTGGTTAGACTGAATCTCTATAAAATCTTTTTGCAAGCATTTTCTTGCCTTTACTCTTTGATTTTCAATTTGTGGTTGCAAAAGGAAGAAAATTTTTGTACTTCAAATCACCCCTTATTAGAATGCATTGAGCCAACATAATGGTTAACAAGTGTTAACTTTATACCTATCATCTCTCTTGTGCTTTGTAATGTGGAATTTACCTAAGGGTGTCACATATAACCCCCTTCTTGGGACTTAATATCTTTGTTGAGATTTGCCTTGTCATCATTAAAAGGGTCACATGGAGTGATTCTAATGCCATATGTAATGACCAAACCCACCACTAATAATATCCGCTCATGGTTTCAAAACATGTCCATTGGTGTTAATGGGTGTTGACTTATTTACGGGCCATCTCTCCCATATGTTGTCAATGTGGGATTTACCCAAGCTATAATATCAACTAAAACAACTCAAGCCAAGGTTTATGAGCCCTTAAAAGTTAAAATGCAAGTCATTAATAATGGTTGATTATGACAATTATATATTAATCACACTCACATTTTCAACCTAATGTGGAATTTAGAACATTACAATGCCTTTGACACTTTATTTGTAGGATGACACTAATCACAGCTCTAACACTTTAAAGGAGGTAAATACATTACAGTGAACCTCTACCTCTTAAAGAGGTAATCTAACAAACTATTACTATCATATGTTGCGATTATTAACGCATTGGAGTACAAGGTAGTCGAATGATAAAAAAAAAAAAACTAGAAAAGAAATAGCTAAATATTGTGTCTAGCTAGTCCTTCACTTATTGGGTGTTAGTTAATTTGCGACAGCATACCGAACTCCATAAAAGCTTTTAATTAAATAGATAACGTTTAACTCAGATAAAGATCCAAATTAGACCTTCCACCTGATAGAAATGAAACCAACTCATCAACCCCTACCATAACCTTCATTCCACAATCATCATCAGTAATGTCTATATCCATTCTTTTCTTTTTCTCACCTCTTTCAATTTATCTTTTACCCTTGTCCAATCCCTTTATACTTAGTCCTTTCCAACCCT